CACGGTAAAAGGAAAGAGCCAAGCTAGTCATGATGGTATAGGTCTTTAATCCCAACCCTCAGAAGGCAGAGGCAGGAGGATCTCTGTGAGTTCAAGGCCAACCGGGTCTACTGAGTGTGTTCCAGGACAGCCAGGGCTACACAGGGAGACCCTGTCTTGAAAAACAAAAACAAACAAACAAAAAAACCAAAAAAATACAAAAATGAAAGGAAATCATGTATAGAGTTGTTTTAATATTGTATTATAACTCAGTGGCAAACATTTCCTAACATGTTTGGTACCTTGTGTTTTAGACCCAGAACTGCCAAAAAACAAACAACAAACAAAAAAACAGTCCAGTTAGCTAGGCACAGTTGTGCACTTCCTAGCACTTGGGAGGCTGACACAGGAAGATTGCCTTGAGTCCAGCTTGGACTCTATAACAGGACCCCGTCTCAAAATAAACAAATAAATGAGGTCTAATCATAAAAATAAAAATATCAGACTGTGAAAAAAAAACTTGAAAGTGTAAAAGTTACCATAAGCCCATCATTCACAGTCCATCAGTATTTATTTCTTTTTTTGTTTTGTTTTTTTGTTTTTTGGCTTTTCGAGACAGGGTTTCTCTGTATAGCTTTGGCATCTTTCCTGGATCTCACTCTGTAGCCCAGGCTGGCCTCGAACTCACGGAGATCTGCCTGCCTCTGCCTTCTGAGTGCTGGGGTTAAAGGCGTGCGCCACCACCGCCCGGCCTATTTCTTTCTTAATATTCAGTCATATTCAATTTCTTTTTAAAATTTTTGAGAGTGTGTGTGTGTGTGTGTGTGTGTGTGTGCATTCTAGTGTGTGTATAGTTGTGAGAGAGTGTTTCGGTCAGAGGATAACTCTTGGGAATTGGTTGTCTCCTTCCACAGGGAATGGAACTTAGGTTGTCAGGCTTACCCAAGTGAAGAGGCCTCACAACATTAACACAGCCATGACAGGCTGCAGACTAACAATGCTGGGACTAGGCCTCATCGTTACAACAACCAGGAAAAGTCACAAACTGTACTCTGGGAGAGACGAATCAGAATTGAGACAAACAAGTACTAAATGCTCTAGAACATTAAGGATAGCTCATATCACTTATACATAGGTTGCCAGTTTTCTTGTAGCAACGTCAGTACCAATCACTGTTTGACAAGACTTCTGTTACCTCACTCCTGCCCAATCAGGAGTTCAACTCCTATCTGAATCTGGAATTCCCCTACCCCACATCCTTTACTCCTTAAAAACCCTGCCATAACTGAGCTCAGTGTTCTCCCTGATCCAACTGCTGTGTAGGAATGGACAGAGAGCCCAAGCTCAAGCTTGCAATAAAGGCTCTTTGCTTTTGCATATGAACTCGGACTCCTGATGGTCTCTCGGGGGCTCATGACACAGGCATAACACAAGCACATTTACCTAGGAAGTCATCTTCTTGACCCATAACTGATATCTTTCATCCTTTTTTTGAGAGAAAGAGTCTCTTACTGTGTAACCCTGTGTTCCTGGCTAACCTGGGACTCACTCTGTAGACTCATAGAGATCCACTTGCCTTTGTCTTCTGAGAGCTGGGATTAAAGGCGTGTGCCACTAAGAGAGGTCTGGCCTTGGTGTCCACAGACGGCAGAAGAAGATGCCAGATATCCTGGAACTTGAGTTATAGACAGCTGTGAGCTGCCATGTGAGTGCTGGGAATTGAACTCAGGTCTTCTTGAAAGACCCTAGCCCTTCAGGCTTACACCCCCAAGCCTCAGGAAGAGAAAAACTTCAAGCACCAGGAAATGAGAAACTAAAAATCTAGTTCCAAGGGCCACCTGACTCAGCCACTACTCAATCACCCCTGTAACAATATAACAATGTAAAAAGATTTCTGTTAAGAGATGTGCTCAACTGTGACTGGGATAGTTGCAGGTGTTCCAGGAAGGACCACTATGACCTGTGTGTAAACTCCACTCCCGCCCTGATACCCCCCTTGAGGTTTCAGGAAGAATGTACATGCTGACGTGACTGTATCCACTCTGTGATCAGGCCATGAAATTGTATGGGAATTGTAATCTTGTGGGTTTTGTGGGTTTTTCCTTTAAAAGTCCTTATGGGACTGCAGTAAGATGCGACTCTTGCTCTTGGGAGCAGAGAAGCCCTTCTGTACAGAAGCCTTAATAAATTCCTCGTGCTGTTGCATCAACTGGACTGGAGTCTGGGTTCTTGGGGCACCCACTTGAGACCCTAAACTTTGGGGTCCAACATTCTGAAAGATCAGTAAGTGGTCTTAACTGCTGAGCCATCTCTCCAGCCCATTTTATTTATTTATTTATTTTTATTTATTTTTTTTTTTTTGAGACAAGGTTTCTCTGTGTAGCTTTGGCGCCTTTCCTGGAACTCACTCTGTAGCCCAGGCTGGCCTTGAACTTACAGAGATCTGCCTGCCTCTGCCTCCCAAGTGCTGGGATTAAAGGTGTTCGCCACCACCACCCAGCTACTTTTTTTTCTAATTTAAAAAAAATATATATAAGAGGATGTCATATCTACTGGAACTAACGTTACAGATAGTTGTGGTACTGGGAACTGAACCAGGTTCCTTTGGAAAAGCAGCAAGGTCTCTTAATAGCTAAGCCATCTGTCTAGCCCCTGGGTCCACAGGCCTTTGACATGCTCAAGCAGAAGAAACTTTCACCTAAGTAGCTGGGGCTACAGACCTGAGTCACAAAGTAGGTCATATGGCTTTGGCTGAAGTCACTACATTAGATGTGACGTCTACCCCTTCCCTTGATGAATCAACTTAAAATCTTCAGCAAAAGCCTGAAATACCAACAATAAAAACTATGCTCAAAAGAAATATTTCATTCCAGCTTTGGCCCGAACTACGCACACATTATAGTGGCCTGGAGCAATTGTTGCTGGAACAAAGGCAGTTCATCCTCACCTCTTCACCTCCAGTTCCTCCTGCCCCAGCTTAGGAATCTCACATTCCAAAGACAAATTCCTGCAGTGAAAAGACTCCAGGTAGACTTGTGATTTCTGACAAGGCTCCACCCCGCCGTCTCAGCAGCAGACCAACAGTGGAAATTCCCATTTCTTTGGGGTGTTCTTGATCAGCACTGAGTACACAGTAGATGTCACAGCTCAGTAGAAGAAGATGGGCTAGTTTCCTGTCTGTGATGTTCATGCTTTTTGATTTGGTTTCTTCAAGAATGTGTTGGAATTAGCTGGGCAGTGGTGGCGCACGCCAGAACTAGTGATTCCTGCCTTGGCAACAACTACGTTCTCTTAAGTCTACAACATTATGGGCTACAAGAGGAACAATTTAGCCAGGCGGTGGTTTCAGAGCATGCTTTTAATTCCAGCATTCAGGAGGTAAAGACAGGCGGATCTCTGTGAGTTCCAGGCTAGCATGGTGTACAAAGCAGGACAGCCAGGGCTACACAGAGAAACCCTTTCTCGAAAAATCAAAAAAAAAAAAAAAGATATATGTATGTGAGTGCTCTATCTGCATGTACCCCAGCATGGCAAGAAGAGGGATTAGGATCCCATTATAGATAGTTGTGAGCCACCCTGTGGTTCTTGGGAACTGAACTCGGGACCTTGGTAAGAACAGCCAATGTTCTTAACTGCAGAGCCATCTCTCTAGGCCTTGCTTTGTTTGTTTGGGGGTTTTTTTTTGTTTTTTTTTTTTTTGTTTTTTTTTTGAGACAGGGTCTCTATTAGTCTTGACCGTCTTGGACTTTACTGTTTCTTTTTTTGTTTGTTTTGTTTTTTTGAGAATTCTGGTTGTCCCGGAACTCACTCTGTAGCCCGGGATGGCCTCCAACTCAAGAGATCTGCTTGCCTCAGCCTCCGGAGTGCTGGGATTAAAGGCATGCGCCACCACCGCCCAGTCAGGACACTTTAATCCTAGCATTTGGGAAACCGGAAGAGTTCCAGACCAACTGGAGTTACACAAGTTCCAGGCCAGGCTGACTACAAAGCGAGTCATTATGTCAACAAAATGAAGGCTGGTGATACAGTGGTGGAGTGCTGGGCATGCCCAAGGCTCACACACAATACTGTATAGCAACACTGTATTTCTCTTTTTCTGTTCCCTGGCCTTCTAGATCATCCCGAATTACTGTTTCTGGGCTGACCTAGTGGCACTTTAAATCGGAAGTTTTAGTGCCAGACGTTTTTGCTGTTTTTCAGCTGAAATCTAGTGTGGGGGTGGGTTGGGGGATGGGGTGATGGGGTGTTCCATAGAAGAGTAAGCGCCCATTGTAACAGCCTCCACGCAGAGCACAATGCCAGGCAGCAGCGCCATGGCAACCGCATCCCGGTCTTGGAGGTTCTCAAGGGATTTGCTGTGTCCTGGAAAAAGGCCACACTCTCTGGACTCAAACGGAAATGATATCCACCAGGAAGAGGTTCACACACACCTACACGCCACTCCAGTCCTCTTATCATCCAGAATCTTTGTTTAGGAGGATCCAAAGTGGTTTTTTTGTTTTTGTTTTGTGGTTTTTGTTTTTTGTTGTTGTTTTTCGCGAGAGCGTATAAACTAGCAAAAAGAAACAAGGCGCAAAGGAAATTAGAAGAGATGCTGTCTCCACGATTCTGAACCTAGGTCCTACTCACACCCCTACCGCTCTTTTTTCGTCGGGATGCCTTCCCGGTAGCTAGTCAAGGGAAAGCCAAAAAGCAAGATGTCGAGCCGCCCGGCAGCGCCCACTCCGCCAGCGGCAGGTGGGACTGCCCTGCTGGGTTCCCAAAGCTGCGGGCGCCCCTCCCAAGGGCGACTCCGGGCCTCTCCGCGGCGTAAAGCAGCCACGGACTCGGCGCTGCCGGGGGTTCTGGCCCAGACGCGTGCCTGGGGCGGAGCTGGGGGAAAGCCCTCACGTGATTGGCCAGCCGGGCCAGGAGGCGGGGCTGCCGGACGGACGCTGACAATGAGCCTCCATAAAAGGGAACGGCGGGTCCGGGGGCGCCCGGATCGAGCCCTCCCCGCTTGGGGTCGTGACGCTGTGAAGCCCGTGGCTGGCCGGGCGGGCGGGCGGCCGGGAGGCCGGGCGGGAGGCGGGTGAGCTAGACGGTCCGCGGGCCCTGCGTGGTCCGGGGCGGGAGGCGGCCGCCAGCGGCGGCGCGCCGAGGCCTGCGCTCCGGTCCTCCGCTATCGGGTCGCCCGTCTCCGCCTCGCCATGGCACTGAGAGCCGAGGGCGCCGCGGCGCTGGACTGCTTCGAGGTGACGCTGAAGTGTGAGGAAGGGGAGGACGACGAGGAGGCCGTGGTGGTTGCCGTGATCCCGCGGCCTGAGCCGATGCTCCGAGGTAAGTGGGGGGGGGGGACACCTCACTTCCGCATGGCGGCCAGGGGCTCGGACCCCGGTTCCCGGTCCCTGGTCCCCGGGCGCGGTCCAAGGCCAGCGTTGTAGCCCCGGCGGGCCCTTCCCGGTCGGGTCCACGGCGGGCGCGCGCCTCCGCTCCTCCCCCACTCGGGTTTGGAATCCCAGGCCTCTCGGAGCCCCCTCCCTCCTCCTCCCCTCCCCCGCTCAGGGTCTGGAGACTTCCATCCACACCGAACGAGCGCTTCGGGTCTTCCGGTTCCCTGTGCCCCCGCGGGCCCAGCGTCAAGGCTAGATTCCCAGGACCGTGGTTTGTGCTACGCCGCCATCTCCCCGTTTCGGCCTGACTGTCCTAGGCCGAGGGGCGACCAGGCCTCTAGGCCCCAGGCTGGTCGCCGTAGCGATAACGGGGGCAAAGGCTAGCGCGGCTGGTAACCTCCCGAGAGGAGAATTTTAAGAGCCCTGCCATGGAGAAACAGTCCTCTCCTCATCCCCAGACCTTCTCTCGCCAGAGCCACAGGTGTCAGTTCTAGAACCCGGCCGTTGAATGGAACTACAAGCAGCACCCAGTTTGAGAAAAGCGGGACTTGCTGGGGGGCGGGGGGGGGGGAGCCTAAGCCATCTATATGGAGATTATTCACCAGAGGAGGTATTTGAGAGACAATCTGGAAATAACTTGCTCTCCCCTCCTCTTCCCCCTTTCTTTTCCTCTGCTTCTTTGGTCCAAAGGAGAAAACAAAGAGCTACCTTTGTGGAAGACTATTAGTCATGAAAATGCAAATATTTCCTTATGGTGGAATACGTGTTTCCCTTTAGCAAGACAGTACCCAAAAGAGATCGAGAACTAAGTCGTTCGTTGTGCTTCTTGAACTTAAGGAATTCTGCACTCCTCCCTTTTGGAGATGGGAGGGTTAGAAAATTCGAGAAATAAAGGCCACATTCCTCCCCGTGTTTGCATCACACAGGTTATTTTCTGCTTGTGCTGGTTTATGGAGTGCTTGCTCTGCTATTGTCAAAGGCTCACACTTAATCCACTCAAACTCCCTGCCAAGGTGGCCTCATCACTGTTAGAAGGAAATAGACATCTACAGAGGTTCATTCATTCAACTGTATTTATTTATTGGGCAAGTAATATGCCAAGCATTGTTTCAGGTGCGCGCGCGTGTGGGAGGGGGGTTGGGAGGTGGGGGGTGGAGATATGGTAACGGTGCTGAAGCAGGGCTTCTCTTGAACATAAATCCCAACAGGTAAATTGAACTATAGTGTGTTAGGTGGCAATGAGTTCGATTTAACTTGGTTTGTGTGTCACAGTATGCATCATGAAGATGTCTGGACAACTTTTGAGAGTCAAATCTTCCACCATGTGGGATTGAATTTGGCTCATCGGGTTTGGCAGCAAGAACTTTTATCAACCCAGCCATCTCCCTGGCCCAGCAATCAGTTTTTTAGGGAACATGAAAGTGGAATAGAGAAGTGGGGGTATGTAGTAAGAATTTTGTTTCTAAACCAGGCAGTGGTGACACATGCCTTTAATCCCAGCACTACACAGAGAAACCCTGTCTTGAAAAACAAAAATCATAAAAAAGAACAGAAGGAAGAGGTCTTAGAAGAGAAAGTGCAAAGATTCTAGAGGCCTCTCAGCCTAGGCACAAGTTTCTAGAAAGATCTGGGGTATGAGAAAGTGGATGAGTTCAAAGATTTGTTGTTTGGGCTCAGTGTGGTGGCTCACACCTTAAATTCTGTCACTCAGGAGGCAGAGGCAGGCAGGCGGACTGCTGAGTTTGAGGCCATCCTAGTCTACCTAGGGAGTTGTAGGCCAACCAGAGCTATTGTGAGACTTTGTTTCTTCGTTTTTTGTTTTGTTTTTTGTGAGTGTTTAAAAAAAAAAAGACCAGAGCTACTTGTCTGTGGGCTTTGTTGGCATATACCTTCAATCCCAGAGCTTGGGAGGCAGAGGACACGCTGGTAGAGCTCTGAATTCAAGGCTAGCCTGGTCTATAGTGTGAGGAGTTCCAGGATAGCCAGGGTTACACAGGAACGCTGTCTCAGGGGTGGGGGGATAAACTTAATTGGGAGCTTAGAGTCCATGACCATCACAACTGAGAGCAGGGCTGCAGGCGGGCAATCGTGGTGCTGGGGCAGTGGCTGAGAGCTTGCATCTGATCCACAAGCACAAGGCAGAGAGACTACAGGAGCTGACTGGGAGAGGCAGAGAGAAAGAGCATGTGTACTAACTGGGAATGGCGTGAGGCATTTGAAACCTCTAAGTCCCACCCCCAGTGACCCACAATTTCTAGCAACACCACACCTCCTAGTCTTTCCCAAACAGTTCCACTAACTGTGGACCATTTATATCCATGAATCTTTTGGACCATTCTCATTCAAACCACCACAGTTTTGTTCTTTGAAAGTGGAAGGATTATCTACCAGTTTACTGAGACAGACAGAGCTGAGGTGTAGACTTGTTGGAAGATTGGGATAGGTCTTTGAATATGGTTAAATTCACAGTGTCTCTTACAGGCTCTAGCAGAGTGATTAGCTAAGCATTTGGATATCTACACCTAGAATTTTTGTGAGTGCCTTGCCAGGGGTATACATAAGTGTTGCCAGGCCTGATGATCAGGCTTGTAATCTGAGCTACTCAGAAGGCTGATGCAGGAGGATCACAAATTCTCGGCCATCCTGGACAGTAGATCTTATCTCAAAAAGTTAAAAAAAAAATTACCTAGAGATAGAGCTCATTGGTAGCACACTTGCTAAATAACAAGTATGCAACCCTACAGTCAATCCCTAATACCACTGAAATAAATAAAATACAGGAGTTGTCAGCAAGGAACAGGTGAAAATTGCCTGAAGGAGGAGGCCAGTCCCTTGTCATTGATACCTAGTACTGTTGTGCTTGAGGTTTAGACACGAAACAGAAATCTATCAAGAGCTGGTGTTGTGCTGTGCTCTGGAGGAAACAAAGCAGAGGAGAGTGGCATGGTCAGCTGGTAGGTTGCAGCTCCTGCAGGAAGTTGAAAATAGTTTTCAGAGTGACAGGAGGAGGAACAGTCAAGTTAAGAGAACCAAGGAGGACAGGTTCCCTGAATGCCTGTAAAAGTCAAGATGGGAAAGGTGACTGACTGACTGACTGGAAGAATTACTGTCTGGGTTGGTGACCTCACAAGACCTGGTTTAGGCCAGTTGAAACTTGGGGACCTGTCACATGGGAGAAAGGTTCTGGGACGTAAACTCTTCTAGATGCTATCTCTTCCTAAAGCCCTGGGTATGAAGGAGTCTCAGTTGGTAGAGAGAGGGTTATGGTACCCAGGGATCATAGGCACTTTTCAGAAGAGTGCCAGGCTGATGCTGAACTGAGAGTTTCTGCTCTGTGGGAGCTTTTATTTCTTATATTACAGAGAGCTGATAGCACAAGCCAAAGGGGCATGACCTTCATTGCAAATACTTCAGGAGCACCCTGGAAAAAAGGAAGGCTGGTTGTGAGAGGCAGGGAAAGAGGTTGACCTTTGGGAGAGGCCTCAACCTGTAGAGGAACAGGCAGGGCATCCATTCCCTGCATACCAGTTCTTTTGGTAACAGTAAGATGATCAAATTTAGCATCCTCACCCTCACAAGAATGTATATTGTGATTAGTCCTTTTGCCATCTGGAAAGAGGGAACCACAATTGAGTTGCCTCCATCAGATTAGCCTATAGTCCTATCTGTGGAGCATTTACTTGATTGCTGATATAGGTAAGCCTGGGCTGTGTAAGAAAGGTAGCTGAAGGAGCCTGGGAGTAAGCCAGTAAGTCCCTTTTCTTTGGTTTCTCCTTCAAGCTCCTGCCTTGCCATCCCTGGATGATGGACTGTAACCTTTAAGTAAACCCTTTCCTCCCTTTCTTAGTTAGGGTTATTACTGCTGTGATGACCATGACCAAAAGCAACTTGGAGAGGGGAGGGTTTATTTCACTCACGTTCTGTTTAACAGTTGATTATCAAAAGTGGTGAGGGCAGGAACCTGGAGGAGGGTGCTGTTTACTGGCTTGCTCTTTCGTGGCTTATTCAGCATGCTTTTTTATAGAACCCAGGACCACCAACCCAGAGATAGCTCCACCCCACAAGCACTGGACCCTTCCACATCAATCACTAATTAAGAAAATGCTCTACAGGCTTGCCTACAGCTTGTGGGAAGCATTTTCTCAATTGAGGCTTCCTCTAATAACTCCAGCTTGTGTCAAGTTGTCATAAAACTAGCCAGCATATTCCCCTAGTTGCTTTTGGTTGTGGTGTTTATCGCAGCAACAGAAACCAAACTTGGACAGAAATTGGTACCAGGAAAGTGGGATGTTGCTGTGGTGAACCTGACCATTTGGAACTTGGCTAGGAAGTGCTCAGAGTTTAATGAACTGTAGCAGGATCTTAAAGGATAAGAATTTGAGAGAAGCTCGGCGTGGTGGTGCAGGACATTTGGGAAGAAGAGGCAGGCCAATCTGTTGAGTTCTAGTGGAGGCGGGAGTTTCTCTCCTGCCATCAGCTCCCAAATAAACGTACTGAGGCTTAATATTAATTATAAATGCTTGGCCAATATTTCAGGCTTGTTACCAGCTAACATATTTTCAATTAACCCATATTTTTTATCTATGCTTTGCCATGTGGCTTGGTACATTTTTTTCATTATGGCATGTCAATCTTCTCTCTGTGTCTATCTGCTCATGACTCCTCTGACTCCACCCTTCATCCCAGCATCCTTAGTTTGGTTGTCCTGCCTATACTTCCTGCCTGGCTACTGACCAGTCAGTTCTTTTATTAACCAATGAGAGTGATATATATTTACAGTGTACAGAAGAATTGTTCCACAGCATTTCCCCCTTTTTGTCTAATTAAAAAAGGTTTTGACCTTAACATAGTAAAACTATAACAAAACATTTATTAAGAATTACAGTTACAATATTGAGTCCATTTGTATTTGCTAAGTTTAGAGAAAATACTCTTGATATAACTTCT